AGTAGTAGTAGTAGTAGTAGTATAGCAGTAGTAGTAGTAGTAGTAGTAGTAGTAGTAGTAGTAGTAGTAGTCGTAGTAGTAATCGTAGTAGTAGTCGTAGTAGTAGTCGTCGTCGTAGTAGTCGTCGTCGTCGTCGTTACATTGTTGTTGTTGTTGTTGTTGCACTGCGGAAGCCGAAGCTTCGGAAATCTTCCAAACCCTTTTCCAAGCCTTCGAAGCTTCATCAAAGCCTTTGAAACCCCTTGGGCCTTCTTCAAACTTTCAGAGCTTTTGAATTGAAGCCTCCCTTCAAGTCCCCTTTCAAGGTGAGTGCGCATTCTGGTACATGAGCAGTCGTTTGGAGGAAATCTCAGACCTTGAGCACTGGCAACATTTGCACCACTTTGACACAAGCACAGAAACAGAGTCAGAAGAAGATAGGGCAGCCGCAACAACAGAGGATACAGGTGGACATTGAATTTCATTGATTACATTGTTCAATTGAATGTGAAATGCATATGCCTATGACGGATCCTTGCACCAGCTGAGCAAGGATACCATCTGGCCACAACGATGTTGCACGGACTTTGACAGTTTGAGTCTCAAAGTCGTGCAACAATTGCAGAATTTGCATTTCTTTTTGTGGACATGGTATTAAATTTGCACCCGAACGAACTTTACTTTTGTAAAGGAAAACACGTTGAGTGGACTTTACTTATGCTGCTTAGACGAAGCAGTACTCAACCATTAGGAAAGAGCAGGCAGAGAAAGGGCAAAATCGAAATGGCACCGTTCTTTTCGAGGCGGCGTGCCAATTGTTTTTGCATGTGTACGTATACCTGTTTAGACATGTCTGCTTGTGTACAGTGATTCATTACATATTCCGCATAGCGCGCGGCGCTCATAACGTGTGAGCTACCAACAATGCCATCTCCGTGCGTTCGGTCAAATCTTTCTTGTTAATGTAAGAAGGTTTCGGTGGTAAGAGTTTGCATGGACATAGCGTGACAAACGTGGCATGAACTGCATGCATTTCACTTGTTCGGTCACCTCCTCAAATGGTTTGAACCGATTGTTGGGCAGCCAAGGCAACAACGTTCAGTCAGAATTGTCCTCTGGATACGCACACTTTGCAAGACTGGCCGATCTGTCAGGGCCAAACCGAGACTTTTGGTCAGGTCGAACTTTTCCTCAGTGCGAAGAGGCTCTATGTCATGAGCTTTGAACCAGACAATCCAAGTAGCACGGAGTACTATCCAAAACTTTGTGTCACGAGTGCCAGTTGTGGCATGGCGTAAAGCATCCAATCACCATACAATGTCACGTTCCTGTACTCCAGTAACTGGCTCGGCCTGGCTCGGTCTTCCTGTGTTTCAGTCAACTTGGTTGGGCAAAAATGTGTTTTTTCGAGTTTTAAACCCAATGGAAGAGACAACTCACTGCACTGCAGCCCACGGGCCCATGGAAACATTGTTCGACTTTTGTCAACCACACAGCCGGACCTACAGCATTAAAGGCAGCGCAACATGGTCGAAATGCTCCCGCAATTGTACAGGTTCATTACCACAGACAAGTGAGCAAACACATCTTCCGTGCGGGTGACATGTGTCCATGCCATCCGCACTTAGTCCATCCCCCAAATAAGCACACCACACCGCTTAGGCTTTCGACGCCGTTTCCCACTTCCACAACTCCTTTTCCCTCGCAGCCCCTGGCGCAGCCCTGCCCGCCATGTCGGCCAGCAAACTGGAGAAAAAGATTTGGAACTTGGAAATCCGACTCCGCGAGGCCGGCGCCTGCAGGGCGCGTTTTTTCCCAGGTCCCAAATGCCCAGGCCGGCGTATTTTTCAAGGGGTCCATCAATGATCTCCAGCGCCCGTTGAACTGGCTATGTTGGGTACGGGCCGTTTGGGTGATATGTTTTCATAAGAGGCTTCGGGTGTTTGCCTTCTTGGCTCATACACAGTTACCTTTCTTTTTTTAGTCTTTATTTGTTGGATCTCCAGCCAGACGGATCAAAGGCTCGCTGACCTGGGTACCTTCCTTTCACAACTGCATAAAAGGGTGCCGGCAGCGGTGCCACAAAAAAACCGCAGCGGGGCCGGCATGGACAGCCAATAGATGAAATGGTCCATCATATGGCCAGATGACATGAATCACCAGGAATTACCAGGCTTTCCTTGTGCCAAACATGTTTGGCCCGGGGGATCCTATGGGATCAGCATGCCAGGCATGCAGTTTTGGTGTCCATCAGCAGAGGATCATTTTTTGGATGTTTTCCAAGGATGTTCTGCACCACCCATCAAGGCAACCCATCCAGCCGATTCGTGCCCACCACGCATCGCCAGGAGTTCCAGCAGGAACTGGAGGCGGTCTTCGCGAAGATCGATGACTTGGAGCGGCGCTTGGAGTCTCCGCAGCCGCTGGGAGTCTCCCCAGGCACGTTCGGCGCATCGGGAGACTGGTGGCCCACGTGCCTTTGGTCCGGTCGCTCTTCGCCCCCCGGACGAGGCCCAGTCGTCCCCCCCGGTCGTCCATCTTCCAGGACCCGCGGCGACGGTCCCAGGCGTCCCGGACGCGGCGATGTCGCCCAGTTGGGCGAACCCCGCGGCGGCGGGCGCCCCGGCGCCGGCGCCGCCCTCCAAGCGGCGCTCGCGGTTCTCGGTGCACGCCGTGGTGCCTGTGGAGGCCGAAACTGGACAGTGAGGGTGGTGATGTCCAAGGGGACAGGACAGGAGTATGATGACACTGCCAGTTGTATGACAAGCCTCTGAGAGAGGCAGGAGGATCGGACGATCTGCAGCTTTGCCCGCGTGTTGAGACCGGCGGAAGGTCAGAGGTGATTGGTCTAGGAACTACAAGGCCCTTTAACTGATTCCACTCGTTCATGGTGCTGTAATTGTCTCGGCCGGCCGAGACTTGCAAAACACAGGGAGTGGCTAAGACACGACTGCAAAAGAACTTGAATCAAGTAATCAAGTCTGAGACTTTAGAGGATTCATAACCCATTTTCGCGATGGCCCTGTTATATACATTCGCCGCTTGCGACCGCCCCGTCCCAACACGGCCGGCCCCCGGCACCCCGGTGCGAGAACGCACAGGGCGAGGGTGCTCGAGCAGATGTTGATGATGGACGGCCAGAACGGTGGATTCCACTGGAGCCGGTGGCCTTCCTGGAGTCGACCTGGAATCTGGTGCTGGTGTTGGGCTACACGGAGCCTTTTGGGCAGCAATGAGATGAGAAGGAAGGAAGTCGTTGGAACCATTGAGACTTGGGAGGACCTCGTGCGGCCTCGAACCGTGGACTTTCGTGGGTGGGGGGGGGCGGACGTGCCGGTGGACAGGGGAAGATGTGACTCTTTGGAGGTAAAACAGTCAGTCGTAACTCTGAGGGCTACTTATTCCAAGGGCAGAAACCAGGGCAAATGGCGAAAGAATGGCTGAGCAGGATCCGCAGCTGGATGCCAGTTTGTTTGTGTTGGGATACGAGTGCAATGTGGCTTAGGCAACGATTGGGGCTCAACGTCACTATATCATTTTAGTCATTGACTTCAAGAGACTTAAGGAGATGGGTTAGACCTGCTTAGCGGCTGCACCGAAGCCGCCGGCACCGGGAAGCTTCGGCTTTGGGGATCGCGACGCTGCAGGTCGGGTTGGTTGGATGTACTGATCGCGGGATTGATGCTGGTGATCAGTGCTGGCCTGCAAATCACTTTCAGCATGATCTTGCTGACGGAGGCATCTGCGGCTGGTGGTTCCAGGTGGTTCGCTGCCGTCCAATGGGACGCGGAGGTGATCACTTGCACTCAAGTTCCCGGACACATCGGTTTGGGATTTCTTTGGAGTGACAAAATGCCCCATGTTTGGATTTCCTTTGATGATGGGATTCTTCATGATTCATCATTCATCGTATGTTCTTGCTGCTTGGTCGGCTTCGCTCCGTTCACGATCTTGTCCCCCTGGCTGCCCGAGGACTTCCTGGGTCAGCCCTTCACGTCTCAGATTGCAGCAGCCACCGCCTGGAGACAGAAGGTCCGATCCTCTCTGGAATGTTTGGTAGGCATGGTGAAATACGTCTTCATGTCATGACTCGGCCGCGAGTGAAAGGTGAGTGAGTTTGGAAGACCATGTGAGTGGTCCAGACCAAGCAAGCGGTGAAGTCCACTCCACTTCCCGGTAACCGTGATTTCAAAAAGGGTCGATCTAGGGGTTTGTGGCGGGTGGGTCTTGAGGGAGGCCACGGGCCCCATTTGGCCACGGGTGGTCAGAAGTCCAAGCGTCCCTTGGCTTTCAACAAGCACCTGTTTCATTCCATGTTTCTTTAATAACATAAATGTTTTTTTGGGGCATTGGGCCGGCGATCCGGATTACAGCAGGTTCCCCACAACACCTTTTCCGCTTTGCTTCACCAAAACGACCAAAGCTTCGCACAGGTGGCGCACGATTACAAGCACATGGACCTGGCTCAGACCAGCCTGGTGAGCCGGGTGTGCCACTTGGGATTGGTTTCGGAACTTTTTGGGAACTTCTGTTCACCGATCGTTGGGACCAAATGGCGCGCTCACTCTTTAAAGAGTGAGCCTGGGCAATTTTTTCAAGCACATCCAACTCAAAGAGTTTTGTTTCAAAGCCCGGCCCTGTCTATTTTGTCACCACAAGAAGGACTTTGTGGCCACAGGGGTGGCGAGGGGCTTGTGCTGCCATTTTTGGCTCTTAGGTAATCAGGCTGATGGCTTGATTATCTCCAATGACCAGGCGAGCTTGAACCTTGGAGAGGTCCTGGTCTGGTGGGAGACGGGGTTCGGGAGGTGAAGGGATGCGTTCTCTCCGCGAAGTGATGCGCTCCGGGCACCAGCATTCATGGAAATGTCCACAAACAACAGGTCTTAGCTACCTATACAAATCCCCAGATCTTTTTCTTTAGGGGTGCGCAACGATGATCTCTCGCGACCAAGTGCCTCCCAGTCCATGAGGATGGGTAGCTGCAGTGAATGGATAGCTGCGCATGACTCCAAGCCTTGGATCAATGCAGACAGACCTTCCCTTCACCGCCTTATTAAAGAGGGCCCTGAGTTGTTGGGCCCGCCCCCTTCCTCCCCGTCCACAAGCGCGGTGCGCACACGTGCGCGCGTGTGGGGATCGAGGATTGGGCAGATCAATGCCTACATGGGCTTCGATACTGGTGATTTTGAGCCAACGCGGCTTCGCCTAGGCGGTTGGTGGCGGTTCCGATGGGAGGGCCAAAATGGGAGGGCCCCAATTGGAGGTGAGGTGTTGAAGAGCGATGCTTGATGCTTGAATCAGGATACAGCTGTGAATCAGCAAAGTACATCCCCATAATTTGATGTGTGGTAGGTAAAGGCTTTTGACCCACATTGGTGTGCACTACACAGCAGGATTGGGATGTGCTCATGGCCAAGCAGGGTGGAAGTGGATTTCATTTGGTGTGTTGAGATTGTCGCCTGGCCTTTGACGTCCTTACGTCAATTTCTTTCCCATGCATGGCAGGTGTTTTGCTGTGCATGCTTTGCATTTTGCTGCGTCTTGGCACCAGGAATCACTGGTGGACGAACGGATGTTCTTCGTTGAACGGCGAGGAGGGGGGGAATCCGGTTGGCGCCAAGAACGGAAAACACGCCAAGTAGTTGAGGAAAGCACACTCCCAGATTCCCATGACTCGGATACTTTATAGATGCCTTCTATGAGTTTTTTCGGGAATGCGATGAGAGCACACTCCCTGAAACAATCATGGTTACTTACGGATGGCCCCCCAAAAGGATTACTATTCTCCTCTACAAGCAGCTGGTTTTTCCACTTCCATTGTTATTTCAGGAGGTGTCAGTCTTTTTCCCTCTTTACAGGGATGTGCGGGTCCGCTGTGAGCCCAGGCCGGTGCTCATTTGGTTTTCTGCTCTTCGAATCTTTCTGGTGTCAAGCAGAATCCTGATCCGAAGCCCAAAATGGTTGGGTCGCACCACCCCACGAGGAGCCAGAATACATGCATTCCTTGGATTTCATCATTAGTATGTTAGTATATATGTACCTGGACCCTCCCGTCGGGGTGTCCAATGGACTACCCCACACTACCTATAGGCTGCCAGACAGGGCACCCTGACAGGAGGGTCCTGGTATGTTACCCTGTAGTAGGGTTGGTGTTTTGCCATTCCAGCTGTTTCCCGGTAGCGAGATTTGGAGACAGGGTCAGTCCCCCGGCGACCCAGGTGGTGCCTCTACCTTTGTAACGAGTTCCGCATGATGCTCGGGTGCACATGCAGGGTGTGCACATGGGGCCTGATGCGGTGGGATCTGGGGAAAAGGGAATGGAAGCAAAAGAAGTTAGACTGGTATGAGTTTGCATTGAGGGAAAAGGAATGAACTAGTGAACCCTCTCAAGACTTCTGCTTGAGTTCGGTGGTTTCATCACCAGCGGAGACGCCTTTGAAGCCACTTCTTGCCACCCGATTTCGCTTCCGACTTCGATGGAACCTGGAGGTCCACGGTCAGATTCCAACGGGGAGACTAGGTTGGAGCGGTCTCCCCACGCTCTTGGCTCGATCTCTTGGCGGCCCGGCCGCGCCAAAACCCGAGGATTTGCATCTCGCTGGAGGCGATGCTGCAAGTGCCGCGGGGTCGGCGCACGAAGGTGGAGCATGGGCGCTTCATCACCATGCGCCTCGGACCAAGCAGATGCGCATGGACGAAGCTGGATGGACGAAGTGGACGAAGTGGTGGAAATGAAATGAGAGACGAGGATGGCAGAGATGTGAGAGTTCGGAGATGCAGTGACAGCGAGCTGAGTCTGCCGAAGTGGAGCCTCTTCGAGGAATCCATGGCACAACAAAAGGATGTGATTGGTGAACTTTCATCGGTTGGACGGTTTTTTTCGTGTTTTCAAGGCCAGGTCACCAAGGAGTTTCTCCGATCGGGGCGGTTTGGAAGGGCATCATCGGATCGGTGATCCGTCCTCCGGTTTCCTTCGGTTTTCCTTCCAATGTCGGAACGGAAGGGCGTTGGGCCGCGGCCCGGGCGCGTCTCGATGTTCCGTGACCTCCAGTTTGGAACGAGCTCGGGAGGGTCTTCGGACCGCGAAGAGGTCTAAAACCATTCAACTTCCTCCGGCGGAGTCCAGAAAAAATCCCAACGGCGGTCTGGGCTTGTCATCGACCGGAGCTAGGTGGGGTGGCACTTCACCGACTTAACCAGGTTTTTGTGGAGCTTCGTCCACCAGAATCGGGAGCTTTTGAACTCTTGGGGCGGTGGTCTGGTGCTTTTGAACTTTTGGGGCGGTGGTCTGGTCACCGCATTGTTTTGCGCCATCGAGCGGCTCGGCTGCAGATCCTACCAGCGCTTCGCCATGTACTGCTTCATGCGCCTCACTCGGGCCACTATTGTTGGTTTGCTCCTCTATGCCGCTTGGGGAGTGGGGATGGGAGGGGTCAGGGTCGGGTCAGGAGAGTTGGAAACAGCTTGAAGGAAGGGTATGGTGGTGGACACTCATTGAGGTGTTGTAGGGCTAAATCCCCGGCCACAATCCTCAACTGGCACAGAACGTGTTCCTGACTGTTTTGAATCAAGCGATTCGCTATTGTAGCTATCTGGGGTCACTGTAGTGCAGCAAGGAAGATGGAGATGTTGATTTGGAGTTTGGGTTGCCATGTGTTTGGGCTTCATTACATGGTGGTTTCTCATGGAGGAGATGGAGATAGTTGGAGAGAACTGCATCAAAACCTGTGGGTCTCTCTTTCCCGTTGTCGTTCGTGGGGTGGCCGTGGGGGTGGCCGTACATCCTTCGGGTCCTTCCGCCGGTGGAAGGCTGGCATTGTGTGGCTGGCCAACACCACCTCGATTACGGACTTGATGCTCAATGCTGTCGCCTTGGGAGCGATCTTGGAGGCGATCTGGTGATTTCCCGTGGTTTCCGGGTGGAGGGTCTGCGATGACTGGCCCGGTCCGAAAGCTGCGAATGGCCCGGTCCGAAAAGGAGCCCATAATCAATTTTGAAGTCCTGGGTTGGTGGGTGGGTGGGTGGGGTTGGGTTAGGTTGGTTTCTTGGTTTGTTGGTTGGTTATGAGACATGTGACATGCATGAGGAAAATGCTTAGGAGGTCGCTGCCAACCCCCCAAACTCCTAGGGGTGGGCGATCCAGGCGTTGCCTTGCTTGCCAGAAGTGCTCCAAAGTCATCCAAAGCCCACACAGATGGTGAAGTTTGATTGCTACAGGTGGCTATTCGATCGTCCCGGATGGTCGATACCTTTGCTTTGAGACTTCATCCGTGGGTTTGTTGAACCACGGGACCAGCTCCCGGATGTTGCCAAACAACGATCGTCGGTTTGCAGCTGGCGATGTGCATCGATGCGCCAGGTGGATGAGATGTTCTTCGCAGCGCTGATGCCCAAGAAGATCCAGATCAAGATTCAGGAGTGTCTTCCAGAAACCATGTTCCCCGAAACCCGACGCTGCTGAAACTCTTCCCTCACATTCATCTGCACGATGGACAGGACCTCGAAGCCATTAAGATCACCTACAGCCAGCGGCGCAGCCAGGTGTGGGGGGACGGTCCACCGTGGCTGTTTCCGGGATCTCTGCCGACTTCGGAATGTGGCTGAGCTACCAACGGGGAGCAAAGCAAATCAATTTTGACACGCAGGTCGGGAGGGGAGGGCCGAAGAACCACCGAGGCTTCTCTGGTGGCTCTCGTGTTCGGATTGGATGGATCCTTTGGACCTGGCGTGCGGTTTGGAATCTGATCGAGTGAACCGACCTTTTGGACCGTTGGGACCTATACACGGCTACGCATCCTACGAGCTCTTAAAAACGCCCGTTTTGGCTCGTCGCCGCCACGCGGCGAGGGGGTCCGGCGGGGGGTGCGGTGCATCTGCAGGTGGAGTCGGTGCTGCTGGTGATCTTCATGACGGGTCTGATGATCTGGCCGTGGCAAGCGTTGGTGGAACCCTTGGGCGAAGCCATGAAGTTGGTGAAGACGGAGTACTGCGGATACAACCAGGTCGCATGGACAGATGCGACATGTGGGGAGGGGGGCTCAAGGAGGTTTTTGCTGTTTGGGGGAGTGGTGGAATGCTTCATACTTTTTACAAGCAATACGGGCTAATTAATACGGCAGTGAGCAGCCAGGATGTTCATCTGGCCTTTTCCACGCTTCGAGTGTGCAATTCATGGGCCCGAAGACTTGACACTCTTGCTTATTCCTGCTCTTTTCGCCTGAGATCCCGCCCAACCCCACCTGAGTCCCATGTCTTTCCAGAGCACCGGCGAGAGTTCGATCCCCGAACAGTGCCGGATGAAGCGTCATGGTTCTCGCGCCGCGGCGGGGAAACGCGAGGACTTTGTGGTGGGGCTGAATGAGAATCTAGGCGCCCCGCGCGTCGTGTCGGGCGTTCCTCTTCCTCCGCGAGTGAAAGGCCTTGTTGGTGGCCGAGTCGTGAAGGTTCATGGGATCGGGGGGGGGTTGGTGAGACAGATGGAAGCTCCAGGGCCAGCTCAGACGACCAGAACTGCGCTCGTCCGACAGGGGTTCCGGTGGGCTTGCATACCTACTCCTTTGAAGAGGCCAGCAAGAACGTGAGTGGCCTGGCTTGAAGCTTTCGGTATCTTTGTTTTGATACTGCTAAGACCACACCCCAGAACAAATGTCCGGGTATTTATTGCAGTTTGGGGCTCAACTATCCTCCAAGATTCTGACACTCAGTTCATTGTCTCTCCAAACCATTTGTTGGGGACCAACCCGTCGTTGAACACCATGAGTGCGGTGGTCCTAACATCCCGCTCGCGACTTGGCCCACAGTGACTAGGGGCCACCCCGCCGCGCCAGGGTCTTCTTCACGTTTTTTTCACTACCCGGCAAGAAACACCCCTCTATGCAGGACAGCTTTCATTGGGGTCCACCCGGGTGTGAGGAACATGTTTGCCCAGGGCTGAGTATGCCTGAGGCCTCATCGAAAATTCCGTGAGCCAATACCTCATGCAGGCGGACACGTCCACCTCGGATCACATCAGGCGAGCAAAGGGAAGGAGAAACCGTCGAGTGAGCGACCGCCGCGTCGAATCCGCGACCAGACCCAACCCCAGAATCGACGACCATGGATCAGAGACCAGGTGTCGCAGATCAGCGACCAGGTTTCAGGGAATGAGCGGCCACGATATCGCGGATCAGCGACCAGTTGCATGCGTCCGGGAGGGTGAATGTATGTTTGCTATTGCATTTATGCTGGTCGGTGGTGATGGCGCTTGTGAGAACGTCTTTGTTTTAGTCTTTAGCTGTGCGGGTTGCAAAAGGCTTGCTGCATTGAAAAGGCTCCTTCCTTGTCTGAGTGCATCCTCAGATTGCTCCCATAAGGTATGCTACGTTTCCATGGCTCCTTTTCTAAATTTTGTCCTCGAAATCCCTCGGATGGCTCACCAAAGCACACCTGTGGAAAAGGCCTTTCCTTTTCGTAATTTTACATAATTTTACCTTGAGATGGCTCACAAAAGGTCTGCTAGGTTGGACTGGCTCCCCCTCTAACGCTTCCGTTGGATGGCTCCCAAGCAATTTCGTTGCATTCGGCATGGCTCCTTTCCTTCTCTAAACTCGAACCCTCAACAGCTACGTCTCCGAGTCACAACATGTGATCCGAACTGCCCTTGAGGGCCCTGCCCTTGAGGGCCTTCAACAACATTAAAAGAAAGGTGGAGCAGGCTCCTCCTTAATATCTCCAGAGTCCTTGCAATTTCTAAATGTTAACTTTAACCATCCTTTTAAAACACACTGATTGTAGTGTGCCTCGACCTTCCATCTGCGCCAAATTCCCCTGAGGGGACAAAAGAGCCGTGTACGAGCGGTTCAACTCAGCAGGCCTCTTATAATTAACAGAGAGTTTAACAGATGCATGGTGGTGGACTGTCATGTTGACACTCCGTCAACACGGGTTGGTGCCTGGTTAGATCGGTGGGTCGATACCGATGGTCCTGTCTCTTGATTTGTGTGTCCATCTATATCTCAATTTACCTGTCTGTCTAGCGGCCTATCTTTGGCACCAGACAAGCTGGGATGCAAGACATGCGGTCCAAGTTCGTGTCCGTTGGTGGCCCCGCTAACCTTGGTTTCTTTCTGGCTGTGCCGGGGCAGAAATTGAATTGGGACCTGTGGATGTGGGAGTGGCGCGACCGCAGTGGACAGCGTCCAGTCTGAAGCCAGCGCGCCTGGTTTCCGATTCGGTTTGTCTCCGATTTGGGTTGGCTGTGGCTTGGGGAGATTCTGTTACTCCGGTCTCCGATTCGACCTTGTCGGTCTCCGATCCTGTTCTCTGATTTGACCGCCACCTTACGGGAAGCGTTGTTTGCCTTTTACTTTTGCCAACTCAACGGCTTTTGGAGTGTTTCAGGGCGGCTGCCAATGTCATTGAGAACCTACTTTGCTTTGTTTTTTCGCAACTTGCGCCGGGTTGGAACTAGAGACCTTCAAGGGCCCTGCTTGGGTTGTTTTGGGTTGTTGGGCGGCAAAATCGGACCAATAAGCTGGGTGGAGTTCACCTAGCTCCAAGAGATTAGCCCAAAAACTGCGCATCCGACCCTTGCCCCATCATCCCATCTGCCTTGCGAAGCCGACATCTCCAGAATTGCTCCAGGATCATTTCACATCCTGCTGTGTTGGAGCTGGTTGAAGCTCAATTGCCCCAAAGATGAGGACCTATATGGCCATACGGGATGGTCTATGCCATGCGGGGGGCCACTTTCAAGATCCAATTACACTCCCCAAGTAGAAAGCGGTCCCTTGGATAACCATTTTCCTTTACAGTCTTTACAGGCACACAGCCGGGCTCCCCACAACCAGCCCCTTCACATATGTCGGTCGGTCCTGAGGTGGGTTATGACACTATCGATGTTCAATTAGAAAAGAGTCAGCAAGGAGGTTTTCAAGCAGACAGTCTTCATTTGATCGCAAGTCCATTGTCGTAAGATTCGTGAGGGAAACACAAAATGTGGACACCTGAAACCACTCATGAATCCAACAGCAAGATTGAAAGGCAAAGTTGAATCCAACTGGTAATGGACCGTTAGAGGATAACAACTTGTGTTCCACCTCAAATAACTTTCTTGAAGAACGGGAGCGGCGCAGGGCGTGGATCTTTTCGCCGAAGCGCCGAAGTACGAAGGTAGGCTCTCTCTCCCCAACTGTCCAATTCAATTGGGGAGGGTTTTATGAATCAAGAGTCGACATGAGCATTTTCTGAATACCAAACAGTCAGGTGAACTCACTCCAGCAAGACGCCCCCGGTTCAAGCCGTGCCTCCACGTCCCGTCTCCGGCGGCGAGAGGTTCGCCTTCTCGGCGCGCGACTTCGAGACGAAGCGCACGGAGACGGTGCTGGCCACGGCCACGAGCTTTTTGATGTGTGGGAATTTGGATAAGTGGTCACCGGGCCGAAGGTGATGCGGGCGGTGTTTTTGGGGCGGTGTTTTGGGGGCGAGATTCTGGTGGAGTGAGATGGATGGTATGGATGAATGGATGGATGGCTGGATGGATGGACAGATGGATGGTGGTGATGGATTCATGGATTGGGATGGGTGGATGGTATGATGGGCTCTGGAGTGCTTGGCGACGTGGTTCCGGACCCCTGCATGCCTGGACCACCTTTTTTCTGGGAAGTGCTTGGTGCTCCTCAAACCTTTCAACACGCAAAGACCGTTTTTTTCGTTTGGGAAACCCAGTCCCAAACAGTTCCTGCCGGGCCCGCAGACTGGGGGCCAGCTGGTACGGTGATCTCCGATTGGTCGAGCGAAGCGCTTGGGTCGACCTCGTTTCTCTTTCTTCGCTTCCCGATCGCCTCGGAAGTCGCGAAGCACTTCGGAAGCACCCTAAGCACCTTTAGGTGGGTGGCCCGTTCAGCTCAGGTACATCGATGGTGCGGAGAACCCCTTGAAGGAGCCCTCTTTCTGTGGATGACTTCCGGCGGTCGAAGTGATGCTCACGGCGCTCGTTGGGCGCGGTGGCATCCCATGCTGGTGGTGTTCGGGTTTGAGGTCAAAGAGCCATTTGAGCAGCTCCTAGACCCCGCCTTCACCCCGAACGAACCCCAAGGTTTTTTTTGTGGTCTCACTCTCGATCGCACCAGTTCTCTGGCTATTGGTCCAGCGTCAGCGTCAACTGAGGACAGGGATTTTCCACCTGGTCCCATCCAATCGAATCCAACTGGTCCAAGAGCCGAACTCCCAAGGTTGAAGGACCCTATAGATCCCTATATAGACTATCCCAGTTGGGTACCCTAGGTGACAGGTCCTAGTTCAGGGTCACTGGATACTTCTCTTGGTCTTGCTTCAACTCCCTCTTGGTCTTGCACCGTTCACCTGGATCTCCACAGGAGACCTATGCACCCTTCTGGTGGTCCCTGGCCGCCGGCTTCGGCCTACCGGACAGCAGCAGCTGCGCCAACATGTCGAGCCCCTTGTCGAGCCGGTTCCGGCGAAGAGGAACCCCCCCCCCGAGGTCGACGGCCGTTCGAACAGGTGGAACAGGCCGGTTCGATGAGCTGCGGGATCCACGTCGACGATGGGAGCTTCTGTTTCCCTTCGATGAGCTTCACCGAAGATCTCTGCTGCGTTTGGCCATCGATGCGGGGTCCGAAATCTCCAGGTTTCCGGTGTTCGCGGGGTCTGAACAGAACAGTGTAAACTGCAAACAATATGATAGTAAGAAACACATCCTCTGATCGCATTCTCATGATTTGGATCGATTGCCTTGGTAGTCCCAAAGCACCTCACAATCTCAGACCTTCGTCCCAAGCTTTGTTGGAAGTCGACAACAAGTCTACGATCGTCAGTCTACTCTCATGCTCTTGGGAGCTCTGAGGCTACTGCGAGTCGGACGAGGGTCAGCTCCTTCGACTGCTGTGTCCGGAGACCTGCTCCTGCGACAAGCCGCTGACCAGCCCCTGGTACAAGGCGGGGCGCGGAAGCGCTGCGGGGGTGCGCTACGTCGCCGGATCAAACCGACAGGGACCAGGTGGACCAGCTGGGTGGATTGGCATGCGGTTGCATGCAGCGTCAACACGGCTCTCACAAACAGTTTATACAACTCAACTTGTAAGCTCCAACAGCTGTGGATTTGATCTCCTACTTCCTTTTTGGAGGAGATTCTGAATGAAAAGCCACGTGGAGGTCATATTTGGCTCCATTCCTGGCTTTTGCCGGAGCCCTCTTAGCTTGTTCCACCCAAATCTGATCTCATCACCTCTGCTCGAAGATGGGTTTCATCCTGTTTCATCCTCCAACAAACAAACCTCGTTCCCCTTCTCTCTTGCTCCTCCTCCAACCCCCCCAACTGCCAAACTGACTCCCCCAACCCCGTCCGTTTCTGCCGCTAACGCCGGGCGGCCCGAGGTGGCGAACCAGGGCTGCCCCTTGAAGTGCGAGCCTCCCCGCGAGGAGGCCGTGAAGGCGTTGCCCTGCCAGGATGCCAGCGATGCGATCGACTGGGTGGCTGGGACGGGCGAAGTGGAGGGCGAAGAGGGCGAAGGGGGTCGGCTGGCGCTTGGAGCTCGGAGGCGTTTTGGGAGGTACAGAGCTCGCACTCTCACGAGAGTTGTTGTCTTGGTTTTTGCTTTCTGTGCTTGTGGTCCTTTGTTGTAGTTGTCACCGTTGTTTGTTTTTCGTGTGGGTGGTTGTGGTTGAGACGGTTGTCACATGGACTACAGTATGGTTTGGGTCAGCCTCCCCTGGTTTGGTTCAGAATGGAACGAGGAACGGAGCCCAGCTGCGAGCTCGTAAGCTCATGAACGAAACCAGAGAAAGTCTCAGAAGCGAAACCTGGCGACTTTTGCAGACTGTCTCACCTGATCGGTTGACTGGATGAAAAGATCATCAACGATCTCACGATGTCATGGCTTTTTGGAGCTTGCGCGGGTCGGAGTCCGAGCTGCCGCGCCGATTCGGTGTCTTGTCTCTCGGCCGTCAGCCGGGTCCGGGTCGAGGTGGGCTTCTGGGAAGATTACCCCGGCATCATGGCCTCCTACTTGACCCTGGAGGATGCCTCGAGCGATCCCAACGTGACGAAGATCGTGAACATGATGGTGCAGAACAACAGCTGTGCGCTGCTCTCGGAGCTAGGCCCACACACAATCGTGCATCGGCGGCGGGCCAGGGCCTTCTTTGGAGAGCTGGAAGCTCTGTTCTGGTGCTATTATAGTCTTTGACTAGGGTCCTAGATCCCTGCGGCTGGGTCCCGTCACGCAAAAAAACCCGAACCTGATCACGTCACCAGGCGCCGCAGGGGTTTCACTGCGGCGTGTTTGGAGGGCCAGTTGATCCAGTGAATCTGAGTGACTCTGTAAACGCATTTTTTGGGTCTATGCACTATGCACGCTCAGGAGACGCGCTGAGGCGTATCCGCTTTTGGGTGTGTAAACTTTTGCACGCTTCTTTTTAGAGGGCTTACGGGGCCCGAATCACCTGGGTGGCGCAAGAACACGGGGAAACAATGGGTCCCTCTTCTATTGTGTTGGGGGCGTGCTGGTGCCATCTTGCGCCTACAGGTTGCGTTTGTCCAAAAGCTTCGAATGAATTTCACTCCAGCCTTGCCGGCGCTTGCGCCTGTCCTTTGGCGCCAGGCTTTGAGCCGCTCACCTCGGGCGACTGGCGCCTGGGCGATGGGTCTGGGTCACCGCCACCGCCGTCGTCAACGGGTCGGTCTCCTGTTGACCCCACAGCCATGTGTAGAGTGGGACCATTAGATGAAAAGTATTACCTATAGAACTTGAGTGACCCCTGGACCATACACCACCTAAAACATGGCCTTTGTCCGATCAAAACCGGTAATTATATTGACTCGCGATGACCTCAAGGATGGCCACTGAAGGGTTACACCCGGTCACCCACACGGGAAGAAGCAACAAGAGAGAGCACAGACTACTACCGTGCCAGTGTGGCGAAATTGCAGGTTCCCTGGCGTTTTGCGATGGGCGTTTTGCGATGGGCGTTTTTGTGGTGCATTTTTTGGGGCCAAGTTGGTTTCTTCTTGCTCAGTGCATGAGATGGTCAAGATGTTGCAGCTGGATACCGGAAGATCTCGTGTCCTGTTTCAGGTCCCGATTCAGCAAATTAAGAACAGTGGTACGGTCTGCCACCAAGACTCAAACCCAAAAGGCGCTGCTGTGCGTTCCCCAGGACTCCGACTCACGATTCGAGGCGTCCTTCGAACGAGTTCGCGGCGCCACCTTAAGCGGAGTGGATGACAATCTGGCGCCAGACAGTCTGGAGTCTGTGGTTCCTTTCGGGGTTGGCTCCGGCGGTTTTTTTGGGGCCCGAACCCCCCGAACAAACCCCATATCACCCCGCCGAGCGGCGATTTCGGCGCACGACTTCCCGCGGCGCTGGGCCCAGGTGCACTGGGAAGGATTTACTTTGGGCACCCTTGGCCCATATTTGTCCCGTAGCCTGTGGCTGTGCTGAGGAGGCTGGGTGGGCTGAATCGCTCCGACGACGAGGGACCGGCGTAAGGACGAGGACACGGTGAGACCATCCAGACGCTGCATCGCATTGGCCTCGTGTCCATTGACCTGCTCGGTCGGAGGGGGACGTGAGTCTTGTTCATGCCCCACCTTGGATGTGAAAAAGGAATGTCCTAAACTTTGGTGGTGCGACTCTCTAAAGTCTTTTGGACTTCTAGGCCCCACAAAAGCCCCAGACGAGCAGGCTGCTGTTGAATCGAAAGCGACTGCCAGACAGCCATGTGGGAGAAGCCCAGCTATTGTCCTACAGCCTGCACCTGCCAGGATGCAAGCAAGGTAGGGTGGGGTAGATGGGTGAGGTTGGATGGGTGTTGGATCTGCTTGGACGGGTTGCGATGTTTCCGCATCTCTATTGCTTGTTCTTTTCTGAAAGGATGTTCCAATCCGATCCCAATTCATGATCTCTGCAAAACACGAGAGAGACCCCCAAAGCTTCGTCTGCGAGTCTGTCAGAAGCTCTGGGAGTCAGCCGGAGGGCATCCCCCAAAACGAACCACAGATCAAAAGGCACGTCATTTTCCATTGCAGTTTCCCTCAGATTTGGTGCTAGTGGCTTCGGGCTATTGACTCTCCAGGCTAGGCTTCTACTACCGGTGGCACCAGTCCGACACCGGTGGCACCATTCCGACCAGTCCCACCAGTCCGGTCTGACCGGCCGGTGCACGTGGTTCACTCTCACTGCCCCGACCAACGCCCCGACCGTGCTCGCCAGCTGGATGGCAACTTCCTGGGCCCGGAGCATGAGGACGACAACATCACCACCTGCGCCCAGGTCGTGTCCAAACGATGGGAGGGGGCGCTCCGAAGGTTTTCGGGTGGAGGAGTTGACAGTTGTGCCGTAGGTCCCTGAAAGGCACCTGAACTCACCTTGGCCATCATGGTGATGCTTCCGAAACCAGTGAGGAGAGGGAGGACAGTCTCTGGACGTATTTTGGGTCACGAAACCTGAAGCTTGGCCAACTCCCTGTTACTCAGATTATTTGAGACCATTTGGGGTTCCTTCCGTCCTCCGGCTGCGACAAAAGGCCCTCCCTGCCAAGACCTTGACGGGACGGTCGAACCGAGCGAAAAGGCCCCCGTTTGTTGCAGGCGGCGCAGCTGGGCCTTTGCGCGGATCCGAATGTGTGGCCCAAGCTGCAGAGAACCCCCTCGGTCCAACGACCTTCTGAGTTCTGAGGATATGGCCAGGAGCTCTAGGGATGGATGATGTGCTTACCACCTTGTGGCGGTGGTTTTTTTTCCATTGGATCCGGCTTCTCGGAAATCCAATCCAACGAGTAGGTCGCAACCCTTCTGGCCCAGCCCGTGGAACTCAATGAAGCACTTGGGAGCGTTCCTTTTTTCGGAGCCGGTGGCTTTTTCACGCGGCTTTCTCGCCCTATAAAGGAACATTGGTTTCAGACCACTCTAAGGCGGTGGCTCGAAGATGGAAGACTGAGAGGTCAAGAGGGGAGTTCCTTTTTTCTTTGGATGCCTACTCCTACCCTGCCCGTCCAACGCTCCCATCTCACCATGGTTCAGGATGGGATGGTGGATGGGGTGTCCAATTTCTGCAGTGAGTGCCAGCCCGAGCCCGAGCGGTCGGATCTTCGCCCGAGGGAGCGCGCCTGCAGCTTGAGCTGTGATGCTTGCGACGGCCCCCCCTAAAGAGGCCGGGATGGTCGCGTTCGGGGGATGGTCGGAGGATGTTCGCCAGTGAGAAGAGATGCGGTTCTCTGATCTTTTCTTCATGTCAAGGATCTTTGTAAAGGAGGGGCCATCCATGGCAATGTAGACTGATAGCTGCATCCGCTGTGGTTATGACCAGCTTTGCCACGAAGAACATCTGCCGAAACCTGGGACGTCTCAGCATCAAATGTGCAGCAAGCCCTCGAAGGTGTACAGAATGTGCAAGTGTTCCTCTTGCTGAGTTCAGGGAAGGATCAGTCGAAGGAGAGACGTAGAATAGGACAGAAACTATACCCAATGCAAGGTCAATGTATGGTCTGGGGATCCCCTTTGGGCGCAATGGAAGACTTCACCGCCGTGACGCACAAACGCACGAACAAAACACCGCGACGCCAGGAGTGCCACCACACAGGCTGGCTCGACTGGAGGCCCACGGGTTTCCCGCGCCGGCGGTTTCGGCGCCTCGGCTGAAGGCCTTGAAGTCCTGGATGTGTCAGGTTTATGCATTGTCGACGTTGATGCGTTCTAGGTGTCCTTCTAGAGTCTGGGACATCTGCCCTTGTGCGAAGTCCTCAATAGGGAGGGCTCCAAGCCGCACCGATCGGTGGGAATCCTCAAAAGACAGGCATGCCAGAGGTTTGATGTGGGGGTGGCTGCGGGCTTAGTAGTTCGAAAAGTGCCTGGAACATGACATCATGAGTATCGTTCGTGAGACCCCCTTTCTGGAACAGTACACTTCCAAGGCCTACTCGTGGTGTTCAAGTCTTGTTGATCTCAGGAGATCGGGTGTATAGAATGATGCACTAATAAAGCCCTCCTAGAGGTTCTACCATCCAAGTGTGTTCTTTTTATTCATCAACCATCCACATGAGGACCTCCTGCTGTTGATCCGATCGCAACATGGCACAGTCCGCGTGGCGGAGTTCCCGGAGGGAGCTCGCTGCTCCGCAGGTCAGCTGCCTTTTGAGTAGAAACAAGACACGTCAAAGAGTCAAAGGTTCTGAGTAACGCGGTATGTAACATGTCATGTTCCCCCCAAAGGGGGTGGGGCCCTGTACAAGACTCACTGTCTTTGGGTTCCAACTCTTTGGGTAACCCCCGCAGGTCTGTTAGAACCCCTCTTGGTAGACCGCATGATACATGTTCTCGGACCGCACCTCCTTCTCCAGCCAGCCATTCCAGCCATTGGTGTCCAGGGTGGAAAATAACAACCTGCACGGTTTTTGGACCAGCGAAGCTCCGAGAATCCACCTGGCCAGGACACGGCTAACGACTGAACGCGGCTGCCAAGCAGCAAGACGTGAGCCCGAGATTTGGGGTGGCTTGTGGCCTCAAAAATGCTCTACTCTATTTTTGTTCATGAAGTTCAGCTAGTTAGTGAAGGTCTGCGACGAAGAGCTTCTGAATCCCCCTGTCCAAAACTGGATGAACCAATTCTGAACCAATATGGGACGATGACCACGATGACCGCTGCGGGGCATTCTCGAATGACCGAACGCGACAAGCTGCCTGTTATCCCATTTGATGGATCGACCTGTCAATGCGAGACATTTCAGCGTTGGGATGGGTGAACACGTTCCGTGCTTCCCCAAAATCCTGATGCGCACATGTGGCTCTTCGCCGCGATCTGTGCCGATGTACTCGGTGTTTTCAGTTCTTTTTTTCAAAAGGGCCACCTGCTTTTTGGTGGCCTTCCCTGCTCTCGTTGGATGTCAGTGTGGGTGGCTGGACATCGCCATTGCGCACTGCCACCACTCCATTCCGGTCACCGTGAAGCGGTGCCGGAACGGGAGCTGGTGCCATTGGGGCGCCCCGTGCCAAAAGCGCGCGGTGTTCCGCGGTCCGGAGGACACCCGGGGGGAGCTTCGAAGTTCGATCTAACGTTGAGTCTTGATTTTACAATGCCCTCCGCATATGAACCAGGAGTCAGAAAGGGATGCCTATTGGAGGATAGGGGTGCACATAATCCACTCACTTGGGACAAAAAAAACAAACCCTTTGTGACTCCCGGAAGAGGTTTTACATCCTCCATATTCCATATTGGGAGGTTGGATTAATCAAGAGTCTACATGAGTTGAAATGGATTTCGTGGAGTTTGAGAATGTCGGGGTCCCATTTTTTGAAGACTATGCGACTATGCAGTGTCTTTGATCTGACCTCCTCCATTGAAGGAAGAAGGAAAGCATGTAGGTTTGCCCAGTCGAGCAAGATACAGCAGGAGGTGATGTAGTGAGAGGCGTGCGGTGCCACCATGAAAAGATCAAGGCATGGGACTCAAGTCACAAGTCACAAGCCGTTGCTTCACATGCATGAGAAGATGCTCCACAAATCCCTGCTTTTCCGAAAGCTCCCGCACGATCGAAATCCATCATGTATTTTTCCTCCATGAGCAGGATACGGGCCCGCGATTCGCGCAGCCACAAGCACGGCCCATGGCGAGCTCCGCGGTGTGCGAGCGCGAGTTGCTGTTTCAGAAGGCCGGGACACCGCAACGGGGGGGCCGCGCGAACCGCGGGGGGTACTTTGTTGCTCAGTGGCAGGAGGGAAGCCGTGAGAAATCCGGTGAGGAAGCTCTCTGCCGCAGATCATAGCCCTAGAGGTCCCAAAACGAACTTTTGCCCCACTGAAGTAAAGGAAGCCCCTTGACTCGGGTCACCGTCCAAGACCATTCTTTGAATCGTCGACTGGACTCCCAGGGATAGTCCTGGGCACCCCCGAGTCGTGGTGTGGGTGGTCACGCTGCTTTAAAACCGTCAACGACGTGTCCCATGTGCTGTGCCGCTATGCGAGGAGCGCAACGTGACTTTCGTTCGGAAAAATGCACTTGGCTTCTCGCTTTCGTGTTTGCTGCGCATTCGTGTTCTATTTTCTTGCTGTCTTTTGTTCCTGCATTAGGAACCCACCAAGCTGTGCCTCAGTCTGTGACAGACCATTGCAAGGAAGGACGAGGAAAATTGTTTTTACACGAATTCACCGGTGCATGTTGCGTCAAGATCCCACTCAGGTGATCCCAAGTGCAGGTGTGCCTGCCATATCTGGGCGAAATTTGTGCCTTACAGTGGTGGTTCACGGATACCTGACCAACAAGAGCTGGGAGGCTTTTAGCACTCGAAGATGGCACATCCCCACATCCAACGGCTTCTTTTTCAGAAGGCTGAGGCCAACTGACAGGTTTGGGTCGCGTTTTCCTGTGCCCCACGCCTCGTCGGCAGGCTGAGCTGCAGCGCCAACAGCAGGCGCTGGAGCGGCAGCGGCTCCACGAGGCGGAGGCGGGTGGGGATCCAATGGGCCGAGGTCTTTGAAAAGCCTCAGTGAGGAGCTACAGGTGGGTCCAATGGGCCGAGGTACATAGACCGGAATGATGGGTTCTGCCCCAAAGGCACTGGTAGCAGTCATCTGCTGGAGTGGGGATGGAACAGTAGGGATTTTCCTTGTGGACATGGTTGACGTGGCCCAATACAATTCTTTAAGCATTCTTTCTGGCTCTACACATCATAGTCACGGCAGGGTGTTTTCTTCTGTGTCGCTCGACCGCGGCGTCCTCGCACTCGAGCCGCGGGGTCGTTTGTGACACATCCTTCGTGCGCAAGGGTGATGGGAAGGGTATGCACTGTGTGCAAAACCATTGTGCGCAATAGTGATGTGAAAGGAATCACAAGGGCCGTGATTCTATGCCCATGCGCCCCGCCCCCAAATGTGTGCGTCGCAGATGATCCCTTTTGTGGGTGCCACAGATGATGCCTCCCCTGCGTGTCGCAGATTACCCCCTTTCCCTTTCCCATAATTACAGGCTTGCCAATCTGGGTGAATCGCCCGCTTGAGGTGGTCTTGAACTGGTGAGTTTTCCTCCCAACTCACTGAGTCATTGAAAGACACAGGAAGACTCCTTCCACACAGACGCTTCTGGACCCTCATCCAGCATCTGGGCCATGGGGAGGTCGTTTCGGCCGCTGTTTCTCTGGCCACAGGCACTTCCCCATGTCTTCTGCTTGTCTCTTTGGCGCGTCGCGTCCTCCGCCGTCCTCGGGTTTCGTCGTTCCAGGAGCTGCGGCAGGGCCGCGAGACGTTGAGGGCCCTGGCGGAGGAGGTGTCCCTGCGAGCAGCCGAGAGGCGGAGTCGGAGCGGAGCGCAACGGATGGCCCATTTCGCGGGCGCGGAGGGGGACGGGGTTTGGGGATGAACAAGGCTAGGACGAGGAGAGTGCCGGTCTTCTTCGACTCGTGGAACTTCTCGATCGGTTCGTGTCCTTTTTCGCTCCGTTCGCGGTAAAGGCCCAAATGCCCCGATGGTCGCTGCTTGTTTACTACCTGGGGTTCCAATTGACACTCGAATCTGCCACCCTCCGTCTTCCAGCGCCGGAAAAACAAGCTCCGGCACGCCCGGGGGGACGCCCCTCGCGGAAGCCCAACCCGCGCCCGAGCCCGAGCCCGTTCTGCGGATCGGGAAGCTCGCGGCCGCCAGGTTTCAAGAGGCCGGAGGGGGGGGTTCCCCGATTCTGTTGGGGGGAGGACCCGACGCAGGCCAGGGGGAGGAAACACGGTGTGGCCGCTTCAGGGGGAAAAGGTGCTTGGAAGTGACTGTGCTGGTCTTCTTTTTCTTCTTCTTCTTCTTCACGGGTGATGACAGGTGCTGACAGGTAAATAAGTTAGAGGCCACGTCTGGTCTCGGGCCTTGCTTCCCTTGCTTCACCCTCCGAGCGTTGCTGATCAGGAGGACCGTTTGCTGCAAGAGCTCAAGAGCAGCCGGCAAGAGATCCAACTGCTCTCCGCACAGTTAGTTGACACACAGGAGCAGATGGGCGGGCATGGGCTGGAAGAGGGACAGACAAGGCCAATTTTGATCTATTGTACTTCTTCCACAACACCTACACCAATTTGGCAACCGGAAACCCTTCCAGCAGAGGGCCTTCCTCTCATGGAAAGGCCTTCTGCCCATGATCCCATGATCCCCTCACCCCCTCGGACCGCCGCGCTGGCGCCCCGCGCCCCCGCAGGCGCTGCGCGCGGCCGCGCGGAGGCGCCGCGCCGAGGCCCAGGTGCTGCGGCTGCGACGGGAGGTGGAGGAGCTGAACGCCCAGGCGCGGGCGGAAGGGTTTGGGTGGGAGAGTGAGTTGGGAGTTGGATGATCCAATGGATGCGGTTTTTGGGAGGGTGCAAGAAGATGCATTTGGGCAGTGCTCCCGAAGGAGTGCTCAGGGTGCGGCCAGGGCGCTCCGGATCTCGCTCCAAAGATCTCGGCGTCCCATCTCCAATTCGATCCCAAAAAGAGGTCGACGTGCAGCTTTTTGCAGGAGCCCAAGTCTTAAGCTGGCACTTCTCCCGCCGTAAGGAACTTGGGCTGCTAAGTCTTATCATCATCCCCTTTGGACTCTGGACCACTCGAAAACGTAGCGCTTCGCTTTTTCTCTGAGGTGCTGGCGCAAGAGCGCCTGGCGCAGGTCTATGAGGAGATGACGGAAGGGGATGAGGGGGGAGGAGGTTGGGGTCTTATGGACCAAAATAAGGAAGCTTGAAAAGGCATGGAGGTCCAATATCTTTCAATCAAGAATGATGTCTCTTCAACTTTGGTCTTCTAGCTCTCCCTGGAAACGTAAAGGGGGTTACTACTCTGCGCGCTGCTGGGTTACCGCACAGCTGAGCAAGGCCACGCAGCCCCTCTTTACAGGGACCTGTTGTGGAACTGTCGGATGGGAGACAACTCCCGTTTCTTGGGGAAGGATCAGCGGCACGGGTGTACCAAAGGGCTGAAAGGAATGACCTTAGACAAGGAGACTGACTGCGCAAAAAAGGGGCGTATTGTCCCGTCAGTTATTGTTTCTTTTGCCGCTGAATTCAGCCAACGGCAAACATTTGATTCTGCGCAGATTCCCTTCCTTCCAAAAGATGCACCTCGTATCCCCGCAAATCGGGGGGTAGCAGGTTGCCTCAGACCCCTAAGCTCCGTGGTCTGCGAGATCCTGGGGGGAGCCAGGATTCCGTGGCCGAGCTACACCTGGAGCTTCAACATGCGCTCGACGAGGCTCCACGACCCAACCACCACGTGGTCCTTTCTTCGATTTTCTCGATTTTCGTGCATGTTTCATCATGTTTCCACGGCATGAGAAACAACCATGGCCACTGTGGTCGGGTTCCTGGGAGCCGCCAACGCCGGCGTCAGGCCCCGGCCGCGCGGCGGGCCGCGCCGGCAAGGGCCGCGAGTTCCGCTGGCCGGTCCTCAGTGGCGCTGTCGCGGCGGCTGAGCAGCCAGCTGGGTGTGATGAGGGGAGGGTGGAAGGGATTGAGGTGGTGAGCCTGGAAAGATCTGGTGTTTGACTTGTGTTGAAACAAGTCCTGCTATGTCCTGCTGACGTTTTTTGATTTTTTAGAACGGGCATCAGTTTGGAATGCTTGGACGGATGAGCCGACTGGGATTC